AAAAAAAAAAGTAAAAAGACATGGGTATTGTCTAAAGTGTTAAATGATGATTAGATGATTCATAGTTAAAATATTCCAAGGGAAAGTTTTATATAAGGGATGTTATGGGCTGAATTATGCCCCCTGCCCAAGAAGATAATGTTGAAGTCCTAATATCTAGTGCCTCAGAATGTGACTTTATTTGGAAATAAGGTCGTTGCAGACATAATTAGTTAAGATGAGGTCATACTGGAGTAGGGTAGGCCCCTAAACCAATAAGACTGGTGTTCTTATAACAAGATGGCCTTGTGAAGACATGGAGAAATAGGGAGGACACCATGTGACAGAGGACACAGATAGTGCAATGATGTATCTTCAAGCCAAGAAATGCTAAGATTTGCCAGCAACTCTCAGCAGCTGGGAGAGAGGCATGGAACAGTTTTCCTCACAGTCTTCAGAAAGAACCAACCCTGGTGACTCCTTGATTTTAGACTCCTGTCTCCAGAATTGTAAGAGAATAAGTTCCTGTTTTTTTAAGCCACCCAGGACTTTGTTACAGCAGCCCTAGGAAATCAATACAGGGGACTAGCTGAATGGCAGCATGGGGAGTTGTAGAAAAAAAGCACTCATGTCTGAATATGAGATCCTTCCCAGAACAGGCATTGAGCACAGTCTGATGACTTCACATTTGTCATGGAAAACAACAAGGCAGTAGTTAACTTTATGTCCCAAAGTATAGAGAGGACAGAATCTAAGGAGAGGTTAGAGAACATGGAGAAGGAAGAATTTGGAAGACTGTAGTTGTGGAAATTCAAGAGCAAGTGCCAACTACAGTAAGTAACCCATACAGCAATCAAATAACTCAACCTCTCCAGACTGGAAAAGTGTATAAATCCACTGATCCCATGCTGCCAGGCTTTCCAGTGGAAATCCAGTAAGGCTCAGTGGGACCTCCTTTTGGGACTTAATGTCAAAACAGAAATGAAAACAAGCAACAGGACATTGTCCTAGCTGGGCCGGAAACCTCCATGAATAAGGTAACTCTTCTACGAATTTTGTAAGCCTGTGAAACTGAACTGGGAATATATTGCAGTGATTAAAAATGTGGTGTCAAATGCAAACATATGACTGAGATTTATTAATGCTAAATAAAATACAGTTAAAAATTATGTTTAATGTTCATTCTCTGTAAATTTAGCTTTTTGAGCCCAGGTGCACAGAAGCTGTTAGTTATTAATGATAAGAGTAAAAGCAATCACAGCTAAATGTACTGAGTGTTTGCAATATGCCAAACATTGCTAAGTGTGTCTGTTGGCATTAGCTGATTTAATCCTTTAAGAAATCTATGATGAGCATGTTGTTGTCCTCATTTACAGATAGGGAAACTGAGGCTTAGAGAGTTTAAGTAACTTGTCCAGGGTCACACTTGGGCTGAATCAGGGAGACCAGTGGAGACTCCTGTGATCATCCAGGTAGGCGATGCTAGCAGGGACAAAGGTGGGTGCTGAAGAGAGGTGAGGCTGACAAGGTTCACTGACAGGTTAGCTGTGGGGTGTGAGAGACAGGTGTCAAACACAGCCCCAGGGATTCTGCTTGGGCAGCTCGAAGAATGCAGTTGCCATTTATTGAGAAGGTAAAGACAGTAGGAGGTGGGTAGGTTTGGAGGGTGAAGGGCAGAAAGAGTTTTGTTTTGAACATGTTGAGTTTGAGATGGCTATCACTGCCCAGGTGGGGACGCTCATGGTTAGATGTAGATGTGCAGAGTTCAGGAGGAGAGTGGACTGGAGAAGGCCATTTGAGACACAACAGCATAGATGTGGGATTAAGAGCCATGAGACTGGATGCGAGCCACAGAGCCTGCCCAGTGGCTCCAGGAGCCCTCCAACATCGGAGATTGGGTGATGAGGAAGAGACAGTAGCTTGGGACACAGGGGTGGCCACAAGGGAGGAGGCAACCCCGAGTAGTGAGTGAGGACAGAGATCCACATTGGAGAGAGTGATGCACATGTCAAGTCATCAGGCAAATCAAGTAATCTGAGTACTGAGAAATGATTGTTGGATTTAGCAACACGAAGGGAACGTCAGACCCTCGTAAGCACAGTTTTGATGAAATGATTGTAATGGGGTCACGAGAGGACCAGGATAGGGCACATGAGCCCAGAACATTCTTTTGAGAACTTAGACAATCAAGTGCCCTCCCAGCACCCCCCAGAATTTGCTCTTACTACCCCAGTCCTCTTTCTGGGACCCCAGCCCCTCCTGGGCACTCAGCCCACCTCATGTATTAATCTTGGCCAAGAAGTTACCCCATAGGGCCTTTATATTTTCCTGGATGGCCCCTGAAAACAAATCTCCTCCTGTCCCTGGCCCCAAAGAATAATACTCACATTGGTAAGGATGTGACTGGCTCAGCCCTCGGAGGGAGACCAGTGATACTTCCAGGTATGTGCTTTTAAAACATTTAAGAAGTTTAGAATTAATTGGGTCAGGTGTGAAATTTCAGATTACAGAAGTCTTCATAAAGGCAAAAGCCTCGCAGATGAAATAGTGCACGGCGTTTCTAGCTTAGTCTTCAGACATATACAAAGGGCCATGTTGTGCATTTTCTCTGAAGAGTACGGGCCACCATAGTTTACCTTTGCCTGTTCTCAGGATGGGCTACGTCATTTGCAGAAGCCAGTGCAAAATGAAAATGTGGGGCCCCTTGTTCAAAAATCATTAAGAATTTCAAGATGAACGAAATATAAGCTAATGCGGTGCATCAAACAAGCATGGGGCTCTTCTGAGGGTGGGGTCCTGTGGGAACTGGCAGTTGCAGGCCCTTGCAGCCTGTCCTGTTGGTTATGGATGGAGCCAGGAACTGGACGTTGGGATTTTTCCTCCCTTAAACCCCTGAGTACATCTCGTTGAGATGTTGAAAGGAACAGGAGACACTTCTGCAGTGTTCTGCAGAATAAAAAAATACGGTTGCAAGTGTTTATTTTTTCCTCATTTAAGTGTAGCCCAGATGCCTCTGTAAACACCTGCCAAGGAGGAGCCTTTGGAAAACAAAGCTATTGCTGATCTCCTGTGCCCAAGAGTGGCCTCCAGTGGAAACAGACCTGTCATTCTAAATCTGTTTTCACTTTCCTCTTGTTCCAGGGGGGCTGTAGGTGTGTGCGGCCATTGGGTGTGCACGTCCAAGTCTAGGAGGGAACAGCTAGCTGCCTCTGGGTGGCATGCTTCTTCTTGGAGACTCTGGTCCAAGCCCCCACGCTCTGGCAGGGCCCCCAGCCCCTAGCGAGAAGTGGTGAGGCACCAGAGTCCCAGCTACTCCTTGTTCCTTCCAGAGTCCCCCCCACGGGAGCCCTCCGAGAGCAAGCCCCGGGCACCCTCCCAGCACACGGCCCCCAGTGGAAAAATCCTGGTGTGTTATTGCTGTTGGCAGCCCCGGGAAAAGCCTGTGGCCCTGGCGGCCATTCGTCGTGCAAACAGTGTGAGGCATATGAAGATCAGCTGGAGGGAGGAATGTTTGAGTTTAAAAGCGCCAAGAATCACTCCTGAACTGGCAAGATGGACGGTCTGCATTTTAAAAAAAGACATCGGAAGAAGCCTTGAAAACAGGCTCTTAGACTTCTTGTTCTGTGTAATGGAAGATATTCCCTGATAGAAGTGAGGGAATGATTTTTTTGACAAGAATTGACAATTGTACTGATTTTTATCTAAAAAAATTACTGGAAAACAAATATTTATAGTAACATTTTCACAGTACCAAAGGAAGAATCTGTGTTTCTTCCCTATTTGTTTTTTTTTATACAGGTTGAAAAGCATTGGTCCCATTAGAGATGTAGGCAAGTAAAACACAGTAACCGTAAGAGATTTTTGCCGAACAGATGGTGCCAGATAAGAGTGGAGGCCGACTTCAAGGCTCACTAATTTGGGCAAACAGCTCAGCCTTACATGACTCACCTGGCTATCTACATCATAAGAGCTGCTTCCCAGAACTGTCTAGAAGATGCTGAGATAATATATGTAAAAACTTGTAAGTGCAGTAAGGACACTCAACGAAGACAAGGCCTGTGCGCTGAAGATGTATCATCATTACGGATAAATCCATTCCTGACTCCATCCAAGCCAGCCTGGACAGCCGGGCTGAGCCCAGACCTGGTGCTGAGTCGCTGGAGAACGCAGCAATGGGGCTCTTCTCTGGTTTCCCAAGACTTCAAAACGAAACTGAGCGATTAAAAGATTTTGGGCCTTGAAAACTGCAGGAATTAAATCTCTCGGTGGGAATGTGCAGCCAAAAGCCAGTGTCCTGAGTGACTCCACGTTTGGGGACCCTGTCAGGGCGCTAATCCCAGATCCCTTTCTACTTTGCCTGTGGCCCTCCCAGCAGGCCTCGGGAAGACCGCCCATCCTGGGAAGACCATGGCAGCTGTTGGCAATGTGGGGTTCAAGGTAGCTGAAGGATTAACTCATGGATCAGATTGCATGGAATTTCCCCCGTTTTACCCTTACTAAGAGAGATCTGTAACTTTCCTGCCCCTTCTCCCATGCATGCATGTGTGCTTGTGTGTGTGTGTTGGCGGGGAGGGGTGTGGGTTGTGGGGAGGATAAGGCTCCCACGTCTGGAAACTCTGGACGCTCCGCCTGGCCCTCTTTGCAGGAGAAACAAGCCAGTCACAGTGCAGAGGGTCAGTGACCGTGAGCTCAAGCTGACGCCGCCTTGGAACACTCAACGGACTTAGTCCTTGCCCCCAGACCGGGGCCAGCCAGTGATGAAAGGGTTCTGCCCAAACACTCAGGAATGGCGTCTTGACCTTCCTGGGCTCATTAGGAACCCAGCTGCCCTCACACCCGGCTGCTGGGATCCCCCCAGGGGCCGCCAGGCCCCCTGCAGCTGTCTTTCTACAGGGGGATATTGCCCGTCACCAAGAGAACCCTTGCCTGCCCACGGCTCTGGTCGGCGGGGCCTCACAGCCCCCAGACAAATGACTGTCCACCCCAAACCCTCCCGACTCATAGCCTCACCCCAAACTCACATGCAGAGGCCCCGAGTCCCGTCCGCTTCATCAGGTCCCTCGTCGGTGGGGCTGTTCCAGTGCCTGGCTGGGGGCCAGCCCGTGTGAAACAAGGATTCCTCGGGGACGCTGCCACCCTCCTGTCTTCCCTCTTCCACCAACTGGAAGCTTCAAGGCCAGAGTATCTGAGAGAAAAGTATTACCTTGCCGTTTGAGAAGGGCCTGCGTGGGAACATGTGCTATGGGTTGAATGGTTAACTGCCCTTGCGCAGTGGGAGGCAGCCGGGCCAAGGCAGACATTCAGGACCAACCAGAAATGTCATTTCTGCACTTTGGAAAAGTGCCTGATACATCTGATCATAGTCATCTCCTCCCTCAAACACCCTCCGGTGACTCTCCAGGGCTGCCAGGATAAAGCCTTGACTGCCCAGCCCAGTGCCGAAGGCCGTCCGCTGTCAGCCCAGCCCACCTGCCCACGCTCCCTGCACCGGGCCCGTTGGCTACGCACTCGTCCTCTTCGTCCTTACGCGTGGCTCCCCTGCAAAGAGCCTGATGCCTGCCCATGATCCATCCCCTCCTGTGGCCCTGACCTCCCACCCTCCCCTGAGCTGCTCACCTGGCAGTCGTCCCCACACTGCAACTCAAGAGTTTCTCAACTTGCAGGCTATGCTCTGGACACAAGCCATTGAATTTTGACCAACATGCAACTGTGTTCTATTTTTTGGCTACAATTGCAGATGCGGGCATTTAGGTGATGTCTGTTGGTAGAGTGTGGAACTGGGTGGGTCGTAGGGTGCTGTGTGGAAGGAGGGACAGTTTGCTATGAGTCATAGATAAGGGACAAGGTGAAATGTGAAGCCAGTGCCAAAAGAAGAAGGTGGCTTTCTTGGGATGCACGAGAAGTTTGTTGGAGAACCTGATAGGACTGGGCATAGTTCTGGAAGGTAGGATAGCACCCGAGGGTGGCTGAGGGAACGGGGCTGTGCTGGGAACGCCTCCAGCACATTCTGGGCATTCTGGGAGAGAATTGCTCTCTCAGAATTGCTGAGAGTCACAATTTAACTTGACTCATGTGTTTGTCCCTTTCTCATTGATTCCATCACGATGCTCCAAGTGCGGGGACTTAGGCTTCTGTGTTCTCTTCACTGCAGTCCTTGATCTGCATGGCTTTGGTTGGTGCTAAATGACAATGAAGGAGCTCAGTGGTGGGCAAAGGGCTCTGAGCATGGACCAGAATTTGTCCTCTGTGTCACTGGCAATAGGAAGGTGATGGCAGAGGGGGCGTCTCGTGGAAGTGCCGGGAGCTTGGAACAGTTCAGAAATATCTGTTAGATATTACTGACTGAGGATTGACCCACAACCAAATCCACACAGCTTCTTTTTTAAATCTCTTCTCTAGAAGTAACTGTTGTAAACAAAATCATCTTTACTTCAGAGCCATCATAGGTCCAGAGCCTCTTCTATTTAGTAAATATCATCTATAGTGAAATGCACCTGCACGATCTGTAATTTTATGCTGGGAATTTGGGAGGATGATTTTTATCCTTTTGTCTTTGGGGGTGATTTGGCTACAAGTAATCACATTTAATTTACAACTGCCTTTGATTTCTTGGCACTGATTGTGTCGTTTTGGGAAATCCTGCAGAGACAGACAAAATGTGAACTCCAAATAGTTTGAAAAGATTATGATATTTTTATAAATACTACATTTAACCATGAACAAAGTGGACATCATGTTATGTTTTGTAGACTTTCGTTAAACCTTTATTAATCTTGATTTTCTCTGGAACAATTCATTCCTGTTCTGGGCTGAAGTATGAAAGCTCCCAGGCCCATGGCCCTGGCCCTGGCTCCTGACGGACAAATGAGCATCTCCTGGGCCAGAGGGCAAAGACACAGGTTCATCAATTATTGATTGATTGATTGATTTATAGAACTCCAGCATGTGTGAGCAACAGGGTGCTTGGTGAGCAAGACAGACACTGCTCCTGCCCCCTCGGAGTGTGGGGGTTACACGCACACAGAGCCAGCTGCATGAAGGACCATTGGCAGACAGGGAGGTTAGGCTTGGGGGCTCCAGCCCTCCTTTCCCACCCAGGACCCTCATCCTCATTTCTCCTACCTGCCATCAAAGTCCACCCTTAGGTCCTTTTTTAAGCTCTCAGGTGCAAATGACTTGTAATAGCTTAACATTTTATCCCACCCAGGAGGTTTTTTTAAGTCTAAAGGATAAAGATTTAATAGTGAAATTTCAAGCACCAATCAGGGTACAAAGGAGGATTGAGGAGAAGAAGGTCTTAAGCATTTTCTAATACCCCTAAAATCATTCCATTGAATTATGATGACTTCTGTCCTTGTGGATATGATAGAAGCCAGTAGATACTTCAGATTAGATGGATGGACAGATGCATGGATGGATGGATGGACAGACAGACGAACAGATGGATGGATGAATATTTAACCTTTAGTCTCTCAACTGATGTTTGAAGCTTGATTCGTTTTCTGATTTCTCATAGAGCTAGGCTAGGGTCTGACACACGTTAAGAAGTTGGTAAAAAGTTTGTTGAACGAACAATATAACGAAAGGGAGGTTATATATGCAGTGGGCCTGTGGTTTGGGGTTTCTGTTTTGGGTTCCTTTTGATTTGAGTAACACACAAGCACGCAACTTGAGTCTGCAGTTGGCAGACTCTTAGCTCTCTTCTTGGGGTAAAGGCCATTGCGAGCTTGACCTTGCTCAGTTTATTGACAGCATATCCAGTCGAAGCCACTAGACTCCCATGGAAACCCTTTTTCCAGATTTCATTTTAACTTGGCAGAGGTCTGACCTTGGTGGATTCCTTGTATTAGTATTAACTAATAAAATGATACTGAACACTAACATAGCACTCATTGTGTGCTTGTTGTGGTTTTAAGCACATTACATATATTTACTAACTTAACCCTTACAATCGCCCTTTGCTTTAGGCACTATTATTAACACCATTTTATGGATGGGGAAATGGAAGCTCCAAGAAGATAAATGACCTGCCTGCGGTCATCCAGCTCTAAGTGGCAGAGGCAGGACTCGAACCCAGGCAGATTGGCCTCAGTGCCGGGGCTCGTATAGAAATCACATCCTCGAAATCAGCTGGCAGCTGCCACGGTCCTGTCGCCGAAGGAGAGTGTTTGCTGGCCTTCACAGAGAGGGCTCTTGTGGGCACCAGGTTGGTAAGGAGCTGGTTTGGGGTCCTGGCACGGACGATGGTGTAACCTGTGGAGAGACTGGCATGGTGGAGGAGGCTCCTTCCCTGCCTGCTCTGGACTCAGTCATGAAGAGAAGCTCAACTGCAACAATGAAGCAAACAGGCTCACAGCCATCAGCACCCCACAGTGGGCTGAGGGGGCAGGGACAGGTGTGCATCTGTGTATCCATCAGAGGACTGAGCATCTGGTCTCCTTACTGAGGATGACTAGGGACTTGCTGGCCCTTCCCAGGGAGAAGGGTGGGGCACGCCAGACCATCCATGCTCAGCCACAGTCTACATTTAGAATTGGGGGCCCTGGTGCCCTTTGGAAGAAAAGATAATTTCTTTAGGGAAATACCCTAGAACTGCCCCAAGACAAGTGAGACAGGAGGAGGGTGAGAACGGATCATTTAAGTGTAAATGTCCGTTCAGGTCTGGATCTGAAAACCCTGTATTTTTGGGTTTAAGATCGTACTTTTCGGACATGAAGAGTGAATTGCAAAATCAGACTGGAGGTTTATTACTTTTTCGCCAAGTAAGTAGCCTGAACACTTGGCCAGTGTATTCATTTCTTGGCACTGCTGTAACAATGTACCACAAACTGGGTGGCTTAAGACAATAGGAATGTATTCTCTCAGTTCTGGAGGAGTCCAAGATCAAGATGGCAGCAGGGTCATGCTCCCTGGGAGTGTCTAGGGAGGACCCCTCCTTGCCTCTTGCAGCTTCCCCTGGTGGCTCCCCATCCTCAGCCCTCCTCTGCTTGCAGCTTCTATTACTCCAATCTCTGCTTCTGTCTTTACATGGCTTCTTCCCTCTGTGTCCCTCTCTTCACGTGGCATTTTCCTCTTGAGGACACCAGACATATTGAATGAGGGCCCAATGACCTCATCTTAACCTGATTGTATCTGCAAAGACCCTATTTCCAAATAAGGTCACCTTCATAGGTACCAGAATTAGGACTTGAATCTATCTGGGGGACTGAATTCAACCCATTGCAGCTGGTGATATCTGTGGCTCACCAGTTACTTAGTACTATTCTACGATGTGCAGTGAGACTGTGATTTCCGTCAGGACCAGGAAATCTCAGCTGGTAGCACTGATGCTTGAATGCAGGTTAAATAGGTAGAGCAGAAGATCCCGTATCAGTCAAGTTCATGTCCAAATACAGAGCAAAAGCAAGATGCCTTCCTAATCTTTTTTTTTTTTTTAAAGATTTTATTTATTTATTTGAGAGAGAGAATGACATAGAGATAGCATGAGAGGGGGGAGGGTCAGAGGGAGAAGCAGAGTCCCTGCTCAGCAGGGAGCCTGACGTGGGACTCGATCCAGGGACTCCAGGATCATGACCTGAGCCGAAGGCAGTCGCTTAACCAACTGAGCCACCCAGGCGCCCGATGCCTTCCTAATCTTACATGTTGCTTTGTTTTCTGAAGCTTCCCCCTTGGCTGCCTCAGGACACCCTTTCATCCTGAGTTAAATGACAATGAAGGCAAACTGAGTAATTATTGGGAGAACCCTTCATTTTCCATCAACTGTGAATCACAGTATTTGCCCTTTTCTTGAAAGAATCCTTCAGAAATAGCTAGGGTTAATAGTGCTTTGTAGTCTACCTAGAAAGAGCGTCAGAAAGAATTTTGCTTAGTGGGGACATTCCCAAGTAGAGAATAGACAAGTGAACTGATGGCAAATGTATTTAACAGGGAAGACCCTGGGGAAATGAATTAAATAGGATCCTGTTTATGCTTTTATCCTGGAAGATGAGGTAGATTTTAGTTCAAGCAGGGCTTCTTTGGTGCTGTCTGAACATAAATATGTTGGCTAATGCTGGTCACTTGGTATGAAATGGGAAGTTTCTGAAATTTAAACAACACATTTGTGAGACATGACCTCACGTTTATTTATCTGGTGCCCATAATGTAGCTGACCGTGACCTCAGCAACACACATTTCAACATGATCCTGTATTTGCTAATGGCTCTTTGTACTCTGAACACAGGAAGATTTAACCTGTTGGATGAGATAGATACCAGGAACTTCACAGCCAAAGTGCCCAGAGATCATCTGATATGTAGTGACCACCAAAGAAATTATGTCTTGAAAGGAATAAAATTGTGACACACACTACAACATGGGTGAACCTTGAAGACATTGTGCTCAGTGAGATAAGCCAGTCACAGGAGTCAAATATTACATGATTCTACTTGTATAAGGTCCTTAAAGGAGTCTGATTCAGAGACAGAAAGCAGAATGGTGGTTACTGGGGGCTGGGGAGGGGCAATGGGGAGTTAGTATTTAATGGGGACAAAGTTTCTGTTTGGGATGCTGAACACGGTCTGGAG